CTTACTTGATAGACTTTGTTTTTTAGCATTTATTTTTTACATGTCCATTTCTGTGTCTCACTGAGTTATGTGGCTCATTTTTATCCGTTAGAACTGAAACTTTGACCTTTAACTCAATTTAAAGCAGGCAGCACAGAAGTTTAAACAACATTTGTAAAGACTGTTTTGTCGATACTGACAGGAGGCAGACACACTTTGGGTATTCGCTCAGAATTACTGTCTGACACAACACAATAAAGCTTTCATTAAAGTCCAGAACAAGAGGTTTAGGACACAGGCCATGTGTCATGCAGATGCAGGACATTGTCCTGATTCGATGACAAGCCTGTTTGAATGACCGCCATACGCATTATTTCTGACCAATTTAAGCCACGTTCACATTAAAAAACAATAACTATATTGATAACCATCCACACAGCGTACATATCGTTCAGTTTATTCTCAGTGAATAAACCGCCGCTAACTCACCCTCATGTCATTCCAAACCCGTAAGACTTTCGTTCATCTTTAGAAAATGAAGATCTTTTTGATGAAATCTGTTCCTCCATTAGACTAACTAGCCTACCACTTTGGCTCTTCAAAAGAGATCGTAAATCTAATCGAGAATTGGGTGGTTTAGGTCCAATTTTCTGAAGAGATTCGATGATAACAGATTGAATTTTGCGGTAGTCTTTTATTCGCATAAACATTGATCAACGAACTTAAACATAAGCTCAACCGAATCTGACCATTGAAATCCAGACACATTATCAACGTTAATCAAAGCCCCAATCTTTCCTTTCCCTTTTCATTTTAATCAGTTTAGTCAGCATGTTGACTTTCTTTCCATGCCGTCTCTTTGTGCTTATGAGGGAAATTTGTAAAGTGCAAGAAATATTTAGCATTGATTTCTCTAACCTGTTTCACACCAGAAGTCATGACAATCCACTGAGGTGAAATACAGTTTTTTAATACATATTTCAAACCCCTAATCCCACTCCATTATTTAAATAGCTTCCGCACTGGATTGTCACCGATCTACCATTGTAATGCTAATAAGGTGTTATGTGGCTTTCGAAGAGATGCACACTTCTGGGAAACAGAGTGAAATGGAGCTTCGAGCTAATGTCTCCCACCGTGTTCTTCGAGACGTCACCCGTGTCCCTGTGCTGTTTTTCTCTTCTGACAATGGGTTGGTCCATTCACCCAGATCCCTCCTGATCTTAAGCCTCATCCTGCCGTATAACAGACTCATTTATATTTTGTGATGTGTCCCATTTCCTTTGATGGTAGTCAGAGGAGATTGCTCTAAAAGCACTAAAAGACAGCAGGCTTTAGCTTGTTATTGCAGGAGTGTGTGAGAGGATATCTGACACTGTGTGCTAGTGTGACCTGACATGGTGGACATTTTCTGCTCATCGTGATGTATCCTAACAGTAGAATGTATGTGCAGTATTATCATCATCAAAAAGTTTCATCAATATTGCGATTACACGAAGTTACATTTGATAACTGAACAATCAATTGAATAAATGTTAAAAGCACGTTTTGTATTAAAAATGTGAAGGTTTTCTTTAGGATTAAACATAATTCATGATTTCTCTCTGCTGTCAGCATATGGGAAAATACATAACTATAGTAATTTATAAAACACACAGACATACACATCTTATCATTTTTTAGATCCAGCCACAGTATTGTACTCAAAGGGAAAAGTATGAGAGGAAAGTTAAAGAGTAGGCTAAACTAAGCAGTGGTGTAAAGTATTTGAGTAAATGTAATTAGTTGCCGTACTTAAATATATTTTTGGCTATACGTTGGAGTTTGACTGAGTATCAAAATTAGATAACACTATTTTAAGGTCACGTAGTTACATTGTACTTACTCAAATAAGTACTGAGTAATATGGTAATATTAATTAATACTTAGTTACGGTTAGGGTTTGGTTTAGAGTTAGTTACTTGTCATTATGCATAATTTACTGTTATTAATATAGTAAGTATAACGTCTAACTAAGTCACTTAAAAATAAAGTGTTACCCACAATTATTAGCAACTTTTACTCCCTAAATAAGTATATTCATTATGAGCAAAGGTAACTTGAGTAAAATACTTACTAAGTACACTTTTTGAGTATCTGTAAAATAAAGTATGATTGACGTCAACATCCAGGGTTTTGGTTGGAAATGAAAGTCGGGTTGACATCAAATTTTAATTTTCAACCACAATACAACGTCTGTCCAACGTTGGAGATTAACGGCAATCTGTTGGATTCTGACATCAACCTGAATTTTCATTTTCATCGTTGGGTTTGGTCTTCTAAATGCTAATTTGGTCATTGTTTCTTTTGGAGCACACTAGCTTATAGCTAACGGTAAGGCTAACTCATACTAAAAGCCAAAGGAAAAGCCATTTGGGTTTCCGAAACCATTGTGGATGTTATTGAGTGCACTTATTTGTTCTATAAATAAGTCTGATATGGATATGAGGGTAGGTAAGTTGGCATAGATTCAGAGGCACAACAATGCAACAATAAGAAAACGTTTTACTTTTGATACTTAAGTACTTTTAAAAACAAGTACTTCTGTAATCTGTCCTTACAAGTTTTACTTGTAACAGAGTAATATTTGACCAGTAGTATCTGTACTTTCACTCTAGGAAGGAAGTTGTGTACTTTGTCCACCTCTGATTATGAGTAAAATACTTAGGCCTACTGTTACTTCAATACATAGAGAGGCCTATCTGGTTTGGATTTTGTATAGACCTAAGACTTTTACTCCCATGCAGTTGGAAACTTGTAATTTATCAAGTCTTTCTGATGCAGTTCTTCTGAGCAAACCCGAACGTATCGTCTTGGAAAACAAATAATCTGGAGTGACTATCAGAGATCCTACTTAAACTGCCATATCTCACTACTAACCATATTATACAGTTGATTATGTTAAATTTCATGCAAGCGTCTTTTCTTGACCCTGTATAACCTAATCACACCAACCTAATCAACTTGGAGTCAGACCAGTTTGGTACAAATTAACGTCTAAATTATTTGTCTGTATGCCAAAGGGCAAGAAAGAGCAGCGTAATAACCATCTAAAAGTGCATATTTTTTCTAAGCAAAAGTCTGGATGTGGCCATACTCTATGATGCAGCTGAAGTACTAAACAAAGACAAACAAAAACCATAAGATGTTAATTGGGGGGCATTTACACATGGTCAATTCATGATATAGACATGTTGGTTATTTCCAGGGCTGCATGAGACAGTGAAGAGAAATACTGTGTGTATGTGACAGATAAATTGAGCGCTAATTTTAATGTTCAGCCTCGTATTGCACCTCATTTAATGCATTAACTATACCACTCTCAAAAAAGTAATTTATTTTGAAATTAATGCTTTATTTTTAAGAGTGTAAAGCCTGATTTTTCCTCATGACATTTTGACAAAAACACTCTCATTTGAATCACATTACCTTGTCTTGCCCTTCTATTTCATTCAGTCCCTATAGCTAAACACAACGTGACATCCAAACAGAGCGTATCTTTGGTTCCATCAGAAACACAGAAAGCATTTACGCTCAGCAGAGGTGAGAAACTGACAGCTGTGTGGTACCACAATATCCATCAAAAGTGACAATAATGTTAAATGGCGCAAAAGGAGGAAATGCTCTGCCGGTTAATAGACTCTAAAATAAATTTATTTTACTAAAATAAAAACGTTTATGGTACCTACTAGGTTGGTTGCCCTAGAGACAAATCTGAACACATATAAAGAACAAATGTATGACAAGAATAGATAATTTTTTTGTTTTTGCTCATTTGCTAAATATCTGAATGCAGGCCTACTGGATCTGAATCACTATAGCCTACAGGGAGTCTTCTTCCGATAAGAAAAGAAAGTCCACCACAAATCGAATACGTGTAATAAGTATTCAGTTGTGGTCATCAAGACATCATGCGTCATAATGAGTCAAATCATGGTTTTCTTTGGTGATCTCATAATAGACCTGAGGGACAAAGAGAGTGTAATTATGGCTGTGAAATGCTAGGCCTACTTATTTAGGACATAACAAGTCAACACTTATCGAATAAATGGTAAATATAGTCTGAAATTGATATGCTGCAGTGCTCACACTAGGAGAGGCTAATCACTCATCTGAGCTAATCGCTAATCTGAGCAGCTAATCACTCAGGCTAGTAAAATAGTTGATTTGAAGGCCTACTTTAAAAAGTTAATCTAAATAGAAATAAACGGAATCTTATTGAGCTAATTAAAATTAAATAATAATAATTATTTAAATAATTAAATAAATAAATATTGATTTTAGTGCATTTTTCTTTTAAGTGATGACGTCACTTTGTAGGACAACTCGGATGCTCCCTCGATCGAAAACCTAGCCTAATGCATTTTCCCTCTTGGAAAAACGCAAAAAATAAGATCTGTGTTCATCAGAGAGTTGTGACCCTTACACGTTTTGTCTATCAAGATAATCTTTACAAGTTAAACCAAAAGTATACATTTTGAAGCCTATATATAAAGTTTTTAAAAAACACAAGCAGACACAATAAAGTTTAAAAAAAAACACAAGCAGTTATCTGTGTGTTCATGTCATAGATGCTTTGTCCACCACAGACCTTATTTTAGGCGATTTAGCAAAAAAACATTCAAGAGCGAGGGAACCGGTAGTGCTAACTTTCTCACTTCCAAGTTTTGGCCTACAGAGTGACGTCGTAACTTTGGGCGCGATGCGATGATGCTATTGACCAATCAGAAACAAGTATTCCAGTAAATCACTAAATGATTAAACTACATGTCTTTATGTTTTATTAAGGAGTTGAAGTGTTATCAAACGTTTAATCTTCCCAATAAGATGTATGGAAAATTTATTTGTTCAGTCTGACTTTGGTGAGAATGTCGCGTTAGTCTATGGTGGTAAAGTAACCATGGCAACACTAGTCCTATGATTTTGAATTAGGTTCCGGGATCTTTCGTCAAATTAGTGATTTGTGTTTTGTCCCTTAGCAGTAACGTTAGCGTTAACACGGAACAGACATGCAACAGAAGAAGGACTTGGAAAAGCAGGAGGCTAGTGACTGTTTGATTTATTCTAAACATAATAACCAACGTTATTAGGTTTGTTTCTCTTCTGATGTATTCGTTTGAATTTGAGGTGAACGTAACGTTTGCTAAAATCAGGAAGCAAAGGAATATTTTTTTATTTAACGTTACACGTAGGCCTTTTAATATGCAAGCAGCCTTCAAAAGTAGTTTCAGTAAAGACAAAAGTTAAATTGCAAAACTTTAAAAGTTTCTGAATACGTCGATTGATCATTAAAAGTAAGTTAGGCTACTGCAAACATGCATCAATCTCTTATATTTACGCATCTCAAATATAACAAAATGTTCTAAAGTCTTTTTTTATGATCTACTGACGTTTAGCTCAGTTGACCAAATCAGAAAATGCATTTCGTGAGACGAACTTTCACAGATCAGAAAAGCTTTTTTAGCTTTTAGAAATGCCTTTAAAATAATCGTAAACCACTGAAATTCAGTTTATAATTCATACTGAATGACATTTGGAATGATATTAAAATGTCTATAGGTCATTGAGACATCTTCGGCCATGGACCAAGTCAAGCCCTGCTGTCACGGCCGGTCTCGATCAGTTTTAAGAATACTCATTAGTGCGCATGGAACGACGAACCTAAATTTAAACCAGGAACAGCTTGCAAGGTAGACTTCCCTTTCCTCTTTATATGAGTACGTTTCATTGATGTACTGCTGAATATGTGCTAATGATATTGGGTAACACTTTCTTGCTACATGTAGGCCTACCACAGTAAATTATGCACAATTGCATGCATCTATCCCTATAGTAAATACATGTAGTTAAATAATATTACTCAATAGGCTACTTAAATAGGCCTATTTAATTACACTGTAACAAATGGCACCTCAAAATAAAGTGGAACCTAATATTGCATGGGATCTAAGGATTTCATTTCATCTAAGATCTCTACAATTTATTCAGGTGTTTTTCTAAATTACAATAAGAAACCGGCCTACACAGTTGCATTAACTGATTTCTTTAGAAGAAAGAAGATTAATTGTGTGCGCTCTGTTCCGTTTCATCAAGGACCTCATCACCAACAGCTTCCTCCGTCATCCATCCAATTGGTCAGGGACATCATCAGAAGAAATGCCATAAAGACACTCAAGAACGTGGCTCTCAAGAAAATGAGAAGATGCAGGAGACCGTCATACAGACTCAAACCAACCACATGGAAATAGGCAGGAAGGAATCTGAGAGTCCTTTCCAACAGAAGGAACAAAGCCTTTTGAGAAGCTCTCTATTGAGACCTCTATTGATCTTGTTCATCATTTTGAAAGTAATTGCTATTTTCGTGATTGCCAGCCAGTATGTTTACTTGGAATTAGGACGTATCTCAAGGTCATGGGATCTTGAAAAATGCAGGAATGGCTTTGTGAAACTGCGCTTTGTTGGAATGTACAATCCACCCGTTTGAACAAATGAACCCATACTGACTTCAGCACTCAATAAAGAATTTCAAAATGGCCTCTTGTGGTTTGAATTGTGGGGAATAGTGAACATGGAGAGTGATATGAGCGTATGCAGTGGATCAGTATGTAGTGATATGAGCGTATGTAGTGGTTATATATCAATATTTTCATTACATGTTGCCCCAAAAACACAATGTGCAAATTAGATACTGTGTATTCTATCGAATAGGACTACACAAATGGCCCTCATATTGCATAAAGTAAAATGTTGACCTATACCTTAAAGAAATAGCTGTCTTGAATTTTTAAGTACAACAAACTTGGAAGATCAAGTCATTTCAACTTAAAATACATTTGAATCTTTTGTGACTTAAAATAAGTTCAGCAATCTTCAACTTTTTTTTGATGAGATAAAGCATATAATGTAAAAACGTCATAATTTTTTTTACAGTGTGTATCAATTCATTTCTTGAGTTTAAAAATGTATGGAACGAATACAAATTTTGCATTTCTAAAACATTAAGGCTTTAGATTTTAAAAAGATTTCTCCATTTTATCATCTCGGAGATCGTCATAAATAGGCTACATAAACTGCAGGCCCACTAATTTATTGGTCAACAAAAACATTATCTGTGAAGCAAAATAATATTTCTGTTATTGTAACAAAACGTGTCAAGCTATTCTGAGCTGGGAATGTCAATGTCTAAAATCCATAATATCACTAGTGTTCGTTGAGTGGCATCTAAAACCATGACTTCAAAAAGACGTTAATCATGGACATAATGATTTCATCATGGACATGGACTCACTTGCTCTGTCGTCAATGATGAAGAGACTGTCTTTCACCTTTTGACGTAAACAGGCTACGTCAGAGATGAGACATTCCCTTTCAATAAAAGCCTCAGATTCCAGGAGGATCAGAGCACCACGAGCAAGGAAGAAGCAGGAATTATTTTAACAGTGTTATAACTTACTCTCCAAAGACCCAACTGATACTCAGGGTAAGTTTTCGATCTCCTTAATTCTCCCTGTTTTCTTTTTGCATGTTTAGTTGTGCACGTTGCTTTATAACGCTTCATTAATGCTGTTTCAGATGAACAGGTGTGTTGCTGGAGTGTGTGCGTCTCTTATTGTGTGTGCTTTTCTTTCGGAAACCCTCGGAATGGTGATTGCGGTAAGAGTTACTTTGATTCAAAATTATTCATTGCATTATTAAAAAATGTATGTCTCAGTGCAAATTAAATACAAATTCGCGGAAAAGCTGAACATTGTTGTGATTTCGTAAAGATCCTCGGGGAAATACTGTTGTAGGGCAGACCGGGGCAAGTTGTCACATTTTTTAAATTTTTTTTTTTACTTACTTAGGGTTTCTTTTTCTTGAAGTCAGTTCTGTTTAAACACATGCCTTGAGCATGAAGAAACATTTGCGTGAGAAAAAAAAAAAAGATGAGAAAGCTTGACTTTTGACAACATGCTCAAGTTGTCATAACGGGACATGGCATTGGGTTTTCTGCAAAATAACAGCATGCACGTAAATGTAACGTTACATGGATAGTTCACTTTGAAATTAATTTTTTATAGTTTTAGCTTACCTCAACGGCATCCAAGATGTAGGTGTCTTTGTTTCCACAGTATTTTCAATTTTTATATTTTTAGGTCAAACCGTTGTTGTCTGTCAGTCATATAATGGAGGTCTATGGGGTCCACCTCAAAGAGCATGCACAGAGAAGTCCAAATTAAACATGATTCAATGACTCATAAATGTAAGTACACATTGATGGCCTAAGAAACGAAACGAGCGGTTTTTGTGAGAAAACGAACAGTTTTTATTAGATTTTACCTCTTGTAACCACAGTAATCTGAAGGTGTGGGCGCTTTGTGGCTGTGAGGTAAAAACAATATAAATACTGCTCGTTTTCTCACACAAACCGCTCGTTTAACGTCTCAGGCCATCAATGTGTACTTAGATTTACGAGTCATTAAATCGTGTTTAATTTTGACTTCTCTGTGCATGCTCTTTGAGGTGGACCCCATAGACCCCACCTGCATACTGATAGACATGAACGGTTTAACCTAAAAATATCAAAATTGAAAATACTGTGGAAACAAAGACACCTACATCTTCGATGCCCTTGAGGTAAGCTAAAACATATCAAAAATTAATTTCAAAGTGAACTGTTCCTTTAAATGGCCAATAAAGTAAAGAATCAGCATTTTTAAAGCTAAAAATCAATAAGTATTTATTTATTTTATAAGAACATATTTATTTTTACATTGCTTTAACTCCAATAAAATAATATAGCAATTTTCAACCTTTTTTAAAAAAAATTATACAAAGTTAAAATCAATTTAACGTACACAAGTTGATTGTACCTGAAAATTTTGATTTTAGTTTGGATGACGGATTTAAAAAAAAGTAAAGTATAAGTATTTTTTGAACCAACTTTGAACCAACAAACAAATGCTGGAGAAAACAATTATTTGTGTAATTGGAGTTTTATATGTAAATGTGTTTATATAAATATATTTATATATTCTATGAAACAGGCAAAAGAGAAGAGAGGATGGACCCTCAACAGTGCTGGGTATCTCCTCGGTCCTCGTGAGTTCTCCAACACATCTTTTTTTTTGTCTATCTTCTCTATTTACCTTTCCCCAGCTGTTTATGAATACAATTACGTATGATTTATGTGGTCACCCGTGATTTTGCCAAGTAAGACATGTAAGTAAGACATCTTAACCCTATCCCAACCCATAACTTATCCTTAAAATCAGAGGGAAATGATAAGTGAATTACTAACCCTGCATGGATGTAAATTGACATAATTGTAATCTTGGCCCTTTTTTGATGAATACATTCTTTGCTTTACTTTTGCTTTGAGCGTGCAGGTGTACTTTTGTAAACCCGTTTACTTTCCTGTTCGCTCTCTATGATGAAATGTGTTGGGGTGCACTGATGTTGAGCTGATGTTGTGTAGGTCAGTTACAGAAGCTCCCTGTGTTTCAGGTCGTATTGATCATCTTATACAGATTAAGGATTCTCCCAGTACAAGGGGGAGTGAAGATCTGCTTGGTCAATGTAAGAATGCTCCTGCAGGTTGTTGAAGTCAGATGAGGAATTGCTCTGTGATGTTTTGCTCTTTGTGCTATTTGCCGTTTTGCATTGCTGGTGATTCATGAATCAAAAAAAGATCTTTTCATCTAAACTGGAAAGATTGATTTATCATGCTTTGAAACGATCGCTGGGAAGCTGTTTGGTATACATCATTTAGATATATATTTTAAGTCAAGTATGTGTATAAATGCATGAAGTATTCTGCCTCTATGTAAATACTGTCAAACTGCTAGTCTTAAATGAATTAGTACTAACGCAGAATAATTTTCTCGCATTAACGGTGACATTAATGGGAGATTTCACTCTTTCTTTCGCTTTACGCTCCGCCTTTGCTTTTCAACTCTTGCTGTGGGCTTCTGCTGTCATTTTTGCTCTTTTTGCATTCGCCGGCGTTGTGGAAAAGAAGTACACTTTAGCATACTTTTATTACAGAAATATTATACTTTAAAAATATATACTTAAGTGTGAATTGAATTGAATGTTTTCAGACATTTGATAGCATTTTATTTGCAATTAAATTAAAATGAATAAATTTATTTTAAATAAAATTATCTGAACTTAAAGTTGTTCTAAACTAACCCTTTTTTCTTCTGTTGAACACAAAAAAAGATATTTTTAAGAATGTTGGTAACCAAACAGTTGCTGGTCCCCATTGACTTCTGTAGTAAAGAAAAAAAAAAATACCATGGAAGTCAATGGGAACCAGCAACCGTGTTTGTTCTTCATTTGTGTTCATCAGAATACATTCATACTTGACGGTGAATAAATAATGACAGAATTTTCTCTCCCTATTGGATTGATTTTATTACTTTAAAAGTACTTTTAATTGATTTTAGTACTTTAGTACTGTTTTCAGACACTTGATTGCTTGCTATTTTCAATTAAATTGATATATGTTATAGTTTTGATTTTTATTAAATACTAATGAGTGGTTAAGTAAACATATTTGCAATTACTTTTAAAATGTATTAACTTAAAATGCAAAATCGATTAACACACTACAGTTAAAATTATAATCAAGTACATCACTTTAGTGTGTTTAGTCAACACACCTAATAAGTGATTGAACAGAAATGACTGAAATATGATAAATGTACATTGACTTGTGCCGTGATAGTGGACTCTTAAGTACACTTAAGTGGCCTCTTATTTAGGTAATATTACATTACATGCACGCACAGTAAAGTATACTTCTAAGATTATGAACTAGTGTATTTTCAATACTATTAAGTGCACTTCTTTTTCACAAGGGTGCGAGTGTGTGCTTCGCATTGCAACAAAAAGCAATTCCATGACTCAAGTCCTGCAGGTTGCTCTACTCAATATGTCCCAAAAAAGAACAAAAACAACAACAACGACAACGAAAAAGATATTCCTCGGATAATGACTTGTCGCATTAGGAACATATGTGTGCCACAGGCAGGTCTATGAATATCAGCCGGGGCGTCAGGGTCTGGTGGCTCGGGTTCTCAGCGGGTTGTTCAAATGATCAATGTGATTATGTGTGGTTGTGTTTTGTGATCAGATGCCATAGACAGCCACAGGAGTCTAAGTGACAAGCACGGGCTGGCGGGGAAGAGAGAAATGCCCATAGAAGATGATTTCAAGACGGGTAAGAAACATGCGCCGCCAGTGTGAAAGCCCTGTGTTAGTTGACATCAGTTTCTGTATGCTTTATCAGAGGCTGGGAAGTGTATTTAAGGATACATTTCAATGTTCGTTAACTTATAATAATGTACTTTCACAGATGTTGTAGCAAGGCTTTGGAATTAAAAGAATAAATGATAATGATCCTCATAAAATCTTGTAATAACTGTTTCTGGTGTTTAGGAGCTCTGAGGATATCAGATGAGGAGGTTGTCCATACCATCATAGACTTTCTTTCTTATCTCAGATTAAAAGGTAAGTGCATTTTTTTCATTAGATTTACATTTTATGTGCTGATTTGGGGGAAAAGGGTTTTGCATAATAAACAGCACTGATAGTATAATACATAAATTATTGCAGGAACTACTGATTTAAATGTGTATATATTAGGGCTGTCAAACAATTAATCGCGATTAATCGCATCCAAAATAAAAGTTTGTGTTTACATAATATATGTGGGTGCATTTGTGTATAATTATATATATATATATATATATAAATACACACACACATGCTTGAATATATTTAAGAAATATTTTCATGTATATACTGTATATATATATAATTTATATTATATATAAATATACATATAATTATATATAAATCATATTTTTTTCTTAAATATACAAGCATGTATGCGTGTATTTATATATATATATATATAAAATTATATACAGTGCACCCACATATATTATGTAAACACAAACTTTTATTTTGGATGTGATTAATCGGTTGACAGCTCTAGTATATATGAAGAGTTCAGATGCAAAAGCCTCTAAATGCCTTTTGAAATTTTCTTCTAAAATGATCATTTTAATCAAGCTTGTATATTTAAGTTCAGTAATTTCACTTAAATGGCAATGAAGATTACCTATTAATTGTTATTTAAGTGAAATTACTGAACTTAAATATACAAGCTTGATAAAAATGGTCATTTTAGAAGAACATTTCAAATGGCATTTAGAGGCTTTTGCATCTGAACTCTTCATATATATATATATATATATAATATGTTTGTAAGTATATATATATATAATACTCAAACAAAAACTTTTATGTTCGATGCGATTAATCGATCTGACAGCACTAATATATACATATACATACTGAATATATACTATATACTACAATTCCGAAGTTTAGGGTCAAGAGTACTTTTTTTTTTAAAGAAATCAATACTTTTGTTTTGCAAGGATGCATTGAATTGATCAAGTGTCAAGAAAAAAGACATTTCTAATGTTATAAATGATTTCCCTTTCAAATAAATGCTGTTCTCTTGAACTTTCTGTGGAGTTCTGAATAACATATCGGGAAAAAAAACCCTGTTCATCTATATCTTGACTGCAAGGAAGTGAATTTTTCTAATTTTCCCCATTTTTTTCTTCCTTCATCCTTTTAGAAATTGGGGGTCTTGACAGTCTGCCTTCCTCTTTCACATCAGAGGAGATAAGCCAGCCCTAATTCAGCACTGACACACCCTGACCTCCACCACACTCGCCTCTCTCAGAGGCTCTATTAATGTTCAACGTCTTCTCTACCGCACTGTCCTCGACGCGCTAACACGTCAATTTTACCACATAACTTTAGTCTGTCAGAATCACCGATGTAGAGATGGATTTAAAAAAAAAAATAAAACTCATAAATGGCATTTGACTCAGTCTCATATTTCATTTTTATATTCATAGAAAAGGAAAAAAAAAACATGACAGACTATTTCAGACAGCTAGAAAAAAACTTTTTATTTCAAAAATATGTGCACTTGGTTGGGACACACAGGTGGAAGCATGAATAATTAATCCCGCAGGTCTTAAGCTCCTCAGTGGTCATCTGGCTCTCGGACAATATGGAGATCACCAGGGTAAGCTTTCTCCATTGTAGTCCAAATATGCACCGTGATGTTTCTCCGTGAGTCCAGAAATGACAGACAATACGGCTAATATGCTTTCCTCTGGACTCAAAGGTGCCTGTAAATGGCAAGTAAATGAAAAAAAATGGGTTCAAATTAGTAGTCCTAGTGATTAACACAATTTGTATATTTTAATGACAAGCTTGTAATTTGAATCCGATTCAATTTGAAATGGAGAGGACATATATCAGGTAGGCTACAGTACATGTCAATTCTTCAAGGAAAAATCGAAACTTGTTCAAATTAACAACTGATTTGTATATTCATTTAAATTGCACATAAGGCAAAGTTGTTCTGAAATACAAACATTTAACCAGTGGCAGTGATGAATATATAATATAGTGCACACATTTTGCAAAATGCTCATTTCTAGTTAATTTAACTACAGAACTTTGGTCATTGAATGGCTTTTCTGAGGTAAATGTAATGTTACGTGACATTGTTTACAAGCTTGTCTTTTAACGATTACATGAGACTTGAAACATTTCAGTAACTTGTACTGATTCGTTCAACTTGCCTTCTGATGTTCATTCATATTTATTTTGTGTTATAACAAGTAGTAAACATACATTCAGGAACTCGAGACACCGGGGAAACTCTTTTTAGTTTTAAAGCACTCTTTTAAGCACTGCTTTTTAGTTTTAAGTTGTGGCTTCTATTACATAGGGAGGGACTACTACACTGCATTTTAAAATAAACTTCTTAATGTCTATCCCATAGGGGAATCAAAAGTTCTACACGCTCAATTGTGGTCTTAAAGGGTCCAATTGAACCCTTGGGCCAAATACAGGAAAAGAGTCATTTAAGTGGTCAAGTGCAAAGACACTTTGTTCACGCAAGTGAAAAAGGCAACAAGATTGATCATTGGGATTTAAAAACCGATATCAGTTGTTCCACAATGAGAATAGATTCAAATATTTTAAAAAAACACAGCCCTAAAACTTGATTCATTTTATCAACTGAAATACACATTCATACTCACCATTGGTCCACCCATATCAGTGCGCACCCAACCAGGGTGAAGGGCGACGCACAAGATCCCCTCAGCTTCCAGATCAACAGCCAAACACCTTGATACCATATTCAAGGCACTCTATATATATATAAAAAATTAAAAATATTCAAAATGAAGTATGCAAGTTACAGCAACTGAATCATTTTCCCCACAAAGCAAATAACAGGCGTTTTACCTTAGATGCCCTGTAAGTGTAACTCTTGAAGCCCGCTGCTTCGCCCCAGTTGAGCTGGCAGGACCCCAGGAGAGATGACACATTGATCACAGCGGCTCTGTGGATTCCCATGTTACTGCCTTCAGCTGCCGCCCTTCTCAACAACGGCAGGAAAGCCTGGAAAAGACCACAGGGAATTCAATAAAGAGGAACAGGACGTTTCCACACAAAACTATCATTGCAGTTATAAAAAGTATTAGCATTGCCAGGGTTTGGTTGGTCCAGCCATATTACCTTGGTCACAAAAAGAGGAGCCACTGTGTTACTCTCATAGGTTTTCATCATGGCATCTCGTGTGACTGTGTTCAGTTCAGAGGGGATGTTAATCGCTGCATTATTAATTAAGCAGTTCAAGCCATCAGCACCCACAATGGATTCCACTGCCTGCACTGCAGCATCCACACTGGTGTCACTGGTGACATCTGATAGAAAAAACAACCGGTTATCCTAACCTTCCATTGTTATTCCCAACCAGAGTTATTATAGTTAACTACAACTAAAAAAGAAAAAGAAAAAAATTAGATGAAAATGAGAATGAAAATTATTTATTCTTCCTTGGTAACCAACAAAGTTGAATGACTAAAATGACTAAAACCAAAACTGAAATAAAATTACAAAACTACAAACATTACAAATTACAAAAGAACATACAAATACTAAAACTGGAAAATTAGTTAAAATATTAAGAAATAATATAATAGTATATTAATAATAGAAACAAAGCTGGATCCAGCCACTTATTCACGTGTTACTTATTGACGCGAGAGCCTCCCTTTTAAAACCCGGATATTTCCCTTTCTTATACTCTTTTTTTATGCAGTAATAACAAATACAAATCAAGACAGTAATACACAAAACAACAATACAGAGGGTTACATTCCATAAACATACATAACATTAAACAAGCTTAAATGATCGACAATATTGCAGAGTCTTAGTTTTTAAAGTTCTTCAATGAACTTAAATACATATCAATATCTTTGAGTTTTCTTTGAAAATGTACACTTGTGAATATAAAATTTGTCAAGAAAGAGTAACAAATTAAGGACAAATTTTAAAATGAAAGGGGTCTAATTTCATAGAGTCACCAAAAACATATTTTATTTTGGCTTATACAGAAGTCTGAAGAAAGATACCTTTTAATAAAATTTGAAAAGTCAACCCAAAAGATTTTGCAATACATACATTTCCAAAACAAATGAATAATTCATTTCATCAAACTGATGGCAAAAGGAGCACAAGGGGGAAATTCTATTATAGAAATTAGCGAATTTGTAATTAACTGGTTAGCAATTGTGAATAATTTTAATTGAGACTTCAAACACTTTAGATAAACTTTTCTAGAAAAATAAATAAATAAAAAAAACCGCAGTAGCCAGAAAGCGTCCCACCCTATATCATCAAATGTATTAGCCTATTCCAAAAACGTACACAGGCAGATAAAGAAATCTGATCTCTGTTAAGAATTAAACAAATTTTCTTATTTGACAATCTACTGGAAAGACATTGGTCTTTCTTTTACCTTGTCATAGGTCTCCACCTACTGGACATATTAGAATTCCACTCTACAAGTAATATTTTGGGCGAATTCCGGAAGTAGGCATCCTACTTTTATAATGAAGTTATAAACTACAGGTACCCTTTCTGCTTGGTAAAACTTGGTAAAACCGTACACATGTCTTGCAACTTATTTAAACTTGATTTAACATGCATGATGACGTACTTAAACAAAACAAAACCACTTGAACTATTCGGTCACCACACATAGTAACTCACCTAGAGGCACAACATGAACGCCTGGATTAGATTTGGCAAGCTCTTGCAAATCCTGACAATGACAGGAAACATAATCGCTCGTTAAGCAACTTTATATTGTGCACATGCGATGTCTGTCGAGCACTGATGTGATAATTACCTCTGCAGCTGTTGGATTACGGGCGGTTGCAATGATCCTTTTGGGTCTTTCCGGGGTAGCGAGCAGCTGTCTGACCATTTGCAGTCCGAGCCCTCTGCTCGCCCCCGTGATCAGCACCGAGTGACACTTCGTGAAATTGATCATCATCTTCCAACGTCGCGAGGACTCCACGCGCACTCTCAACGGGTTCCACAACTTATGTCAATTTGGAGGCGGGGTTAGTTTCATAAGCGTCCTACCTACAAACATGTAACCTCATTTAGTGAAATAATCTTTTTTTTTCTTTTTTTTTTTCCTACAGAATGAATGCATTAGAAATGACGGGAAAATGTGATGTCGCTAAATTTAAATAACTCGCTTCACTAATGGTTATATTATGACTATACTAATTTACTTAAAAGTTTCATATAATACAAACATCATTAAAAGTACCTAAATGTACTGTTTACCTAGCCGATTACAAAAAAATATATATATATACGTTAATTATCTGAAAAACAAACTCGCGCGTCCTCTCGCGGTTTTTTACTGTTAATGCGCGTGAGTTTAAATGCGTGCGAGCGTATCACCTTCGAGCTATTTTACAGTATCTGTAACGGTCAAAACATGTGAAAAAACTATTAAATAGTCTTATATAAGTCAATTTTGTTACTTTAAACGGTCAAAAATCCATACGTACTTATTTATCTGGTAAGTGTCTCGTAATGGTTGTAAATTTCATAATTTATCAATATCTTGAGGTAACGCAAGTGATTAGCTAAATCGCTAGCGTAGTAAGTTTAACTTATTTCAACGTAAATAAACGTATCTAACTATCTAATTAACAATACTTGTTTATCTGTGTTTACACTAGAGCCGAACAGTTGTGTGCCTTACAGAAATTAAAAATGTTGCCAATGAAATAGTTGACAGAAGAGTATATATAATATATATTTACTTTCCATTAGCTACATATTCAGGACCAGTGTTGCTATTGTTAACTAAAGCTAAATTGTTATTAGTATAATTGAAATAAAAAAAAATATTAGATGAAACTATTAAAACAGTTTAAAAAAATGTTTGTTTAAAATATCAATAAAATGACATATGAAATTGTAATACAAAATCTTGATAAATATGCTTCTCTCTTTTATGTCTTGTGTGACTCAATATTAGCACTGTAATATCAGGAGAATGAATGAGTTTGAGGGGGAAGAGTACAGCTACAGAAGAGACTTGTCCAACGGGTCTCTGGTCCCCTTACACCACACCCATGAAAGTCCTAGAATGGCCAATCTCTTCAGTCATGGGATGCATCCAGGAATGAGATACTCCAGGATGGAAGAATCTGTGCGGGAGGACGACTACACCACCTACAGGATTCTTCATCCGCTAACATATGATCCTTTGCCTCCAGTAGCCCAACATGGCTCGGCGTCTTATTCTGAATACTTACTTGCTCCCTCAAGCCATTATCAACATGCACTACTAGGCCAACCATACAGCTCCATTAGGAGCCCATGGCCATCTCAGGAGGCTTTTCAGTATGGCATGTCATCAGTGAGTGTGCACAAATTGAAGTATTTATTATGTGAAATCTGAAATCTCATTTAATGGTAACTAACGCATTTCCACTAAGGGTATGTCTAATAAGCAAAACTTGTCTAATTTGTTTGTTTACCTTACAGGCAGAGATCTGTCGAGGTGTCAATACTATCAGCTCTGAATCTGTTGGTGCAGATCATTACAGCATGGAGGGTTATTCTACACACCAAGGATTCAGACATGCTAATGTAATGTGACGTCTGAAATGTTTGTGTGTATGTGTATGTCAAAGGGAGTTAATGGATTGTTCATTTATACTTTTTCAGAGAAATCGGTCTCATGCTCTTCTTGTGTCACCTCATGACCAGCACAAAATGGGGAAGAAGTTTCCAGTTCAGACGTCCAATATTTGTCAGGTATTAGCTCTCTCAAATGCTCTTCTACAAATATTAGTAATTGCTGTAATTAGCAGGTTTTCTGGAGCTTATGTACATGAAGTGTGTATTTAAAAAAAATCAAATAATATCCCAAATCACAGTTAGCCATTTGTAAGTCAACTTTGTGAAGAGAAAAGTTCTCAACCTCGATCTTTCTAGAGCACCAATTCAGCATATTACAATGATTTCTGAATCATGTGATTATGTGAGTTATGGTGAAAATTCAGCTTTGCATCACAGGAATAAATGACATTTTAAAATATATATAAAAAAGAATGATTTATTACTCTTGTTACAAACATTAGAATAATAATTTGTATAAAAATATTGTTATCCTCTAACTATACACAAAAAAGAAAGAACAATCTGCAATAATAAAATATATAATATATACAATAAATAATATATTTTTTTTCTTAATACATAGCTGCATTTAAATTACTCCACTTAATTCATCTGTTCTTTTGAGTGTCAAGGGCAGATTATGCCATTGAACTGGAGGTCTTTGATAAATAAAAATGAACCCATTTGAAAAGTCTTGAAACAGGCCATCTTCTCTGAGATGTTACAGCCCATGCAGGTTATGTGTGATGTGAGCTGTGGAGGGCAGGTTGTCGTGTTGAACCATTGCAGTCCTGATCAGATTCCTCACTCTATGATGACTGATCTCAGCACAGAGTCTCTGTCTAAGCTGTCAGTCCAGAGCTGCTCTACTGAGGACCAGTTACCTCATGGAAAAGGTGAACTTCAAACTTTAGTGATTATAACACATGAAGATATTTTAATTGATTTAAAGGGGTCATATAATGCATTTTTTTTAATCATTTATGTTTTCCCTTGAGGTCTGTGTATAATGCTCTTTCAAGTTTTTTTTTGTGGAAAAACTATGTAAAAACTGTTAAGCCATAATTTAGTTTCATGCCCATTTTCCATGCACTTTGGAGTCAAACAGGCTTTTTTTGTTGCAGTCTTCTATGTAAAATGAATAACAGCATTTACTGTTGTTAAAAATATACGTTGTTCCTTTCTAATGCTGACATACTTCTGACTTCAAGCATTTATAAAGCTAAAGGAAATTTTATTTCTTATCTGATGTTTTTGGGGTTCACAGTAATGGACACAATTGCTTGGAATTTTTATTCTAAAATAGACTACACGTTTAGTAGTTGTATGTACTGTTGAAGTATTTGAATGTCCTGTCCAGCATCAGATAGCAGACATTCAGAGAAAGATGTGTTCACTGGGCTGCCTCAGACCCACAAGACATCTGCAGGTGTGACGTTCAACCTCACGCCAGGACCTTATGCTTCACAGGTAGTGTTGAAGGCAAATATCATTTTCAGCCAGTCTCATTTGAATCCTGGAGTAAATGTGTCATATTATAACATATAAATATGTATAGGCCTATACATACATAAAGAGTAATTTTTGTCACACTTCACACTTTACCTAAAAATTGAAAGAAAATTATATTTTGTTGAAAAAAATCAACAATTTGTATGAAAATCAACCTGCTTATATTTTAATGAAATTTTCTATCATGCTTCTATGATGTATACATCCACTGTACCTTATAATTTAATTAATTATTAGCTTTTCTCATTAAATTAATTCTTTTTTTTTTGTATTTTAGAAAAGAGGTGTTAGAATCTTAATGGTCCTAAATTTACATAATTGTATTTTTGAAAAAATTCTTTTGATTTTGGGGTAAAATATGACCAGGACATTTCTTCTTAGGTTTCCCTGTATGTCTGTGTATATATATGTATATACTGTATATGTATAATATATGTATAGTTCATTAATTTATGAATCATATATTAGTATATTTATATATATAGTATATTTATTTATTAATATATATATTAGTTCATTAATTAGTTAATTTAACAGGAATTACATCTAAAAAAATTACTTTTACTTTTTTTTAGCTGCATCAGACGCTTTGCTCTACTGCGACTGTAGAACAGGAAGTGGAGGGTCACACTAAAGGACGTGGACGGTACAAGTGTTATTTCTGTAAAACCTCATATCTCGTGTTCATTCCTGAAAACTGACTTATCACTTTTATAAAACACTTTCAACTGTTCTTTGTTTATTAGTGTGAAGTGGGAAAAATCAAAGAGGCCCTGCAACTGTACAAAATCTCAGTGTCTGAAACTGTAAGTATTTTCATGTTTTTTTAGCTTCTTATTTGATCAAATGTGACCTCAACTGATTCTTGGTTGTATTACCCAACAGCGTCTTTATTTAACACAATGATCTGTTTTGTACTTGCTTTGGTCATGATGACTAATGCTTCTGTGCAAAAATAACCTACTATGTAAAATCAGCTCCAAATTACCAAATCATTTCTCTGACAGTTATTGTGAATGTTTTGCAAACGGAGAGGTCTGCAACAACTGCAAATGCGTAAACTGCTTCAATAATACTGAGCATGATATCGAGAGATCCCAGGCTATAAAGGTGAACAACATAACAATAACCTCTTAAAACATGCCAACTCTAATGTGTTTCTTTGATTAGATGCCACTGATAACCTCATTATATTTTGCATTTTTATTGCTCCTAAGACCTGTCTGGAGAGGAATCCAGGGGCTTTTCGGCCTAAGATTGGCAGTAGGAAGCAGGGGAATGTAAAGAGGCGTCACACAAAAGGCTGTAACTGCAAGCGTTCAGGCTGCCTGAAGAACTACTGTGAGTGTTATGAGGTAAGCTAAGATGTTTTGGCTGATCTTATATGTAGTATATATTCAGTAGTGTGATTCTTTTGGAGACACTTTACACTACAATTCCACACAGGCCAAAATCATGTGCACATCCACCTGTAAGTGTGTGGGCTGCCGAAACTATGAGGAAAGCCCTTTGAAGAAGAGATCAGAGCGGGACAGGCCTGACTCCAGCATCTACTACCCAACCAGGTACATATGAGTCCATTATTTACATTTATTCATTTAGCTGACGCTTTTATCCAAAGTGACTTAAAATTGCTATATATGTCAGAGGTAGCACACCTCTGGAGCAACTAGGGGTTAAGTGTCTTTCTCAGGGACAGATTGGTGTTTCACAGTGGATTTAAACCCGGGTCTCTCACACCAAAGGCATGTCTTTTTCACTGCGCCATCTCACCACCCCCATTATAATACTGAACAGTAAAAACAGTACAATAACAACACATTTTTTTTATTCAGATTTGTTTTAAATATCTTTGCTAATGGGAGAAAGTTGTATTTTTTAAAAACAAAACTATATATATATATATGAAGAGTTCAGATGCAAAAGCCTCTAAATGCCATTTGAAATTTTCTTCTTTAATTATGAGTTCAGTAATTTCACTTAAATAACAATTAATAGGTAATTATCATTGCCATTTAAGTGAAATTACTGAACTTAAATAAACAAGCTTGATAAAAATGATCATTTTAGAAGAAAATTTCAAATGGCACTTAGAGGCTTTTGCATCTGAACTCTTCATATATACACACACACACACACACACACACATATATATATATACAGTATATATATATATACACACACACACACACACACACACACACACACACACACACACACACACACTGGCTACTGTAATAGGTACACCTTGCTAGTTCTATTTTGGACCCCTTTTGCCTTTGGAACTGCCTTATTTTTTCATGGCATAGATTCCACAAGGGGCTGGAAATATTCCTTGGAGATTTTGGTCCATATTGACATGATAACATCACACAATTGCTGCAGGTTTATTGGCTGCACATTCATGACGTGAATCCTCTGTTTCACCTCATCATGAAGGGGCTCTATGGGCTAAATGCACGCATAAGTTCCGCATTTGACGCAAGGATCTGGTTGGGGAGATTAAAGCGGAGGAAAACCAAGGAAAATGGGATTATGGCAGAGTCTTCAAAATTTACTGTCCTCCCGTCTTTGAAATGAAAATTTCATATTTTTAGATGTAATTTTATATATAGTTATGTTTTATTTAATATAATTTTAAAAAGAAGCATAAACACAACGAGGGGTGTCTGGTTTGTCCGTTTTTGTGATTTCTTTAGTATAACCATGGAGTATAAAATTCAATATAAATTCTCGGTATTGCATTGGACTCGATCGGCAGAAGTTATCGAGCATCCTTAAACCTTCACCGGAAATACCGCCGTGCATAGAGCCCATTGGTTTGAGATCTGGTGACTGGAGGTCATGTGAGTGTAGTAAACTAATTAGCAGCTTCAAGAAACCAGCTTGAGATTATTGGACGTTTTGTGACATACAATGTTTTTTCCAGTCTTCTATTGTCCAATTTTGGTGAGCCCGTGCCGAGCTTCAGTTTCCTGTTAGCTGACAGGAGAGGCACCGGTGTGTAGCTCATCTACTTCAAGGTTCGACATATTGTGCGTTCAGAGATACTCTTCTGTAGATCTCGGTTGAAACAAGTGGTTATTCGAGTTACTGTTACCTTTCAGTCAGCTTCAACCAGTCTGGCTATTTGCCTCTGAGCTCTGGCATCAACAAAGCATTTTCACCCACAGAACAAGTTCTCTTTTTCTGATCATTCTCTGTAAACCCTTGTGATGACCGAGCGTGAAAATGGCTGAGTTTGAGAAATACTCTGATCAGCTGTCTGGTTCCAACAACCATGCCACTTTTAAAGTCAATTTAATTACCTTTCTTCCCCATTCTGATGCTCAGTTTGAACGTCAGGAGATCGTCTTGACCATGTCTATATGCCCAAATGCATTGAGTTGCTGCCATGTGAATGGCTGATTAGATATTTGCATTAACAAGCAGTTGAACAGGTGACCGATCAGTGTATATGTATATATCTTAAATAAACGTGGCATGGTTGTTGGAACCAGACAGCTGATCTGAGTATTTATCAAACTCAGCCATTTTATATATATATATATATATATATATATATATAAATAAAGTGGCAGGTCAGTGTATGTGTATATACCCTATATAATATATATAAAGGATATAAATTAATAGAATGAATGGTGTGAAAAGGGACAACATCCAGTATGCGGCAGTCCTGTGGGCGAAAATGCCTTGTTGATGTTAGAGGTCAGAGGTCTTGATTTCTGTTGAGACATTCAGATGATAGAGTCAGAATTTGGCGTAAACAGAATGAGAACATGGATCCATCATGCCTTGTTACCACTGTGCAGGCTGGTGGTGGTGGTGTAATGGTGTGGGGGATGTTTTCTTGGCACTCTTTAGGCCCCTTAGTGTCAATTGGGCATTGTTTAAATGCCACAGTCTACCTGAGCATTGCTTCTGACCATGTCCATCCCTTTATGGCCACCATGTACCCATCCTCTGATGGCTACTTCCAGCAGGATAATGCACCATGTCACAAAGCTCGAATCATTTCAAATTAGTTTCTTGAACATGACAATGGGGCCGTTTACTCCTGGCCACTTCAGCTATCCATGATAGGATAGCTATCCGATCGTGAAAAGACCTGGTGTAAATGCCCCCGAAATGCATTTGAGACAGATTTGAATCCGATCGCTCAAACCACTTCAGGAGGTGGTCTGGGCCGCATTCCAGACGAAACTGGACATGTGTAAATGCATCTGGTTGTTGAAACCACATATGTAAATTTTACTCCTCCCAAAAATGCTAAAAAATAAACGTGTGAAAGCGTGTTTAAGGCTATATGTCATGTTATTTTAGTCAGATATGACGACGCTGCGACACGCATCAACTCAGATGAGCAGCTGAACACTTATCAAGCCAATGCACCGCAATTTATCGCAAATCAAAGTGAAAGTAAGTCGCAGACGCTTAACACTACATTCTTCATTAAAGAAACGAAATGATCTTACCAGGGCTGTTGCCGCTCTCTTATTGCTGTCTTTGCTGATTTTGAAATTAGCCGATCAATAAAATTCAGCTCATATCTGTTGCTTCCTGTGACGTGCACTTCATTAAATCTGCATAAAGTGCGGGAATTGAAGATCGGATTTATATCCATTTTGCAAAAACATTTATGTGACATTTAAAGACATTTATGTGGTCAGGTGTAAATGGAATCGTTTTGATAAATCAGATAGCTATCCGATCTGAGAAAATGCATGAAGTGGCCAGGTGTAAACAGCCCCAATGAGTTCACTGTATTAAAATGGCCCCCACAGTCACCAGATCTCAACCCAATAGAGCATCTTTGGGATGTGGTGGAACAGGAGCTTTGTGCCCTGGGTGTGCATCCCACAAATCTCCATCAACTGCAAGATGCTATCCTATCAATATGGGCCAACATAGACCACGTAGAATTAAGGCAGGTCTGAAAGCAAAATGGGGGTCAAACACTGTATTAGTAAGGTGTTCCTAATAATCCTTTAGGTGAGTGTATATATACATTTATGGAATCACTGTAAACTAGTCCAACGAGATTGAGATTAAAGGCTGCTGCTTCTGTCGTGCTTTGTTGGTTGTTTTTCAAAAGGTAGTAAATGAGAGCAGTAGGGTTTTGTTATTCCTTCAGTCACCGAGGGTGTCTCTGTTGATAGGTGTCCTCTGGCGTGCATCACGCCCGATGTAGTGGAAGCCACATGCGGCTGTCTCCTCACCCAAGCTGAAGAGGCAGAGAAGGAAGGGTACACTTCAGCTCACGCTGAGAGAATGATTTTAGAGGAGTTCGGCCAGTGCCTGACGCAGATCGTCCGATCGATATTCAAATCCACCAACGTGCAATTCAATGTGTAGCTCGGGAACAAATGCTCAGTGTTGTGATCGATCCAGATGTGATTTAAAATGGTAAACAACAAGTGTTTCGGTTTTTTTGTTTCCTTTAAATGTTTAGAGATGCTTTAAAACTCACATCCTCATGACTTTAATAACATATTTTATTTATTTATTTATATTTATTTATTTATTTAAATACAAATGCCGTAATTTAAATATTATAAAAATGACTATTTTTTTCCATTTATTTCTTTATTTCCATTCATACCCACCATATCACATCTGCTTGATTTTAATTTAACATTTTATTTATATTAATACATTTAAATTTACGTTTTACGTTTTAAATTTTTCTATTGTTTATGTATTATTTCAATTTATTTACCTCTATGCATTCCCACCACTTCATATTCTTTTGATTTTAATTTATCATATTATTTATATTGAACTATATTATTTCAACATGATTTACATTTTTATTAAAAAATATATGTAAATTATTATTTGTATTTATTTATATTTATTTTTTTTGTAGTTTGTTGAAAATACTTTATATAATCTAAAGAAAAAAACACATAAGTGTGTTTTTGCTTTTAAGCTGTTTAACCAGAAGCAATGTTTACATGTTTTTCCACGTTACTTGTTGCTTGTTCTGGAATGTTTTTTGCTGTTCTGAAATTTTATCTGGTTTCCCATGTCAGGGAATTTCTGTCAGGTTGTATGAGCAGTCATTTCCTTGCATTAAAAATGGAATGTGCAATTTTCATTGTTATTTGCAGTTGTGTTTTGTAATAGAGCTGTCACAGTGCTTATGCATCAGTGACTAAATTGATTGACATCCTGATGTTTTTTAAAATCTCATTTTAAACAATGAATTAACAATGAATTTTAGAGACACAGCTTTAGGGAAAACCTCACCGTGTTGATTTTCATTATAGGAGATGCTCTTGACGTCAAGCTTTTGTGCAGGTTAATGTAGAAAGCGTTCCCATGATAGGACAAGGTGCAAACAAGTGATGTCTCTCGCAGGGGGTTGTATCGAACCTTGGGTCCTGTTGTTAAAGAAGGACATAAATAGAGGAGTAGGGAACTGGACCGTTCAGATTTGTTTAGTTCTTCTCATCAAAAACAATTCTTGATCCAACAAAAATGGTAACTATGCATACAGGTATTTTTTACATGCATACATTAGCATAGAATAAAACATAATGTTTCATGATCTATTTTCTTGTCATAGATATCAAGAATGTGGATTTTATGGACATGCACAATTGTGATATTTTTACTGGTGAAAGAGTGTCATTGCATTCAAAAGGTATGTTTTTTTGAGTTTTTATTATAATTATTTATGCTGTTTCTTTTACTTATTCACTGCAAAAATGTATTTTAATAGACCACGTTATCTAAGAACTGGGGACCACAGTCAATGCTTTATCTAAAAGGAAAACGTGAGTGTTGTCTGACCACTTTAATTCACTTTGAGTAATCAAATTGATTGGCTGCTATCTTAAATATTAGTTTTAGCTGATGATCTTCCATTTGAAACAAGCATGAATATATGTGGCCAGGTTTTGATTTGTTACTGTATTGAATTTCCTTTTTTTCTCCCCCAGATGGAAGACGGTTTGTCCCTGACATTGATGACCTGTTTTCAAATTCAGGGTTGAAAAGCTGGTACGCAGTTCTCAAAGGTGTGAATCAATAATTCCTGATTGTTGCAGATATACCGTTCTTGAGTTGTTTCATTTTCAGTGATCTTGACTATTGTGTTTTCTTCAAGGGTTTCAGAAACTGAAGTTGTTGAATTCAAGAAAACAATCAGGATTGTTCACAACACAGGACTTTGTGATCCATTAATTGGAGTGAAGGGTTTGTGTACAGTGTGCCATATTTTGTAATGTTTAAGATTAAAAATAAATCTATTTATGACAAATGTGTGGGGGAAAAGATTTGTTTTTTTTGTCTGCTGTTTAAGATAGTTGTGTTGTTTTGATAAACTTTATATTTATGAAGTCTCACACTTTTTAAGTCACTTGACATGCTTTAAGTCAATGTTCTTACTGGTGAGAATTATGTTTTATAAATTAAATACACTGAAGTTCAATTATATCTCCAGTTGTAGTGTTTTTGTGCTTTTGTTTCAGTTTCTTTACGCTTTTAGTTGCACATTTCTTGATAAAAAGAAGTCACTGTATGTATATAGACATAAATCCAAGGCAGCTGGGGTACTTCAGATGACATTGAATACCTCAGAATCGCAGCCTAAGTTCAGCAGTTGCCAAAGGATATATCATTTCATATCATGTGAGGCAGACGTGCCGCCTGCTCAGAGAGCAATGGCTTCTTTCACTGTCCTCACATGCACTTCAGTCTTCAATAAAAGCAACATGGGAGCTATTCTCTCACAATATGTGTTATTAATAATTTAGCCTATGAATTGAATTAAAAACTGAAGCACTGCAAAGCAAACAAGTGGATATTTGCTTAAGTCTTTAGCCAGTTTCACTTTCTCGAGGTCACATCATTTTGCAGCAAATCATTCCGAATATGCATGTGTTGTAATTTAAGGAAGTATGTGCATGCACAACAGGTATTAGATATATGCTCTGGTAATTTAACATTATCAACTACAGCATGATTATTAACAGTGGCAGGAAAACTTGCAGGAAGCATATTAACCCTAAAACCGTATTCTGGACAAATGTGGGAAAAATAGTTTTGATTTATTTTTAAAAAAATACTTCCTTTGATCTGAGCGGTACAAGACTTGGCTACTTTTTCTAAGTTTGCCTCCTGAACACACATTATTTTTTTACTCAATTCTACAATGTTAAGTGGGTGAAAAAAAACAAAAAACTCCTTAATCTTGTATTTGGGTCAAAAATAGGCACTCATAGAAATGAATGGGAAAAACTGTAATTTAGACCCTTCCAGAGCTGAGATATTGAGATCCCATGAACCCATTATTTTTATAATGGCATAAATGCTACGTGGGATCTCAATATCTCAGCTCTGGAAGGGTCTAGAGCCTCCATTTTTGCACTCAGGTCTAAGTCTCATGGCCCTCTATCAGAATCCAGAGTTTCAAGAAGATCAGAGAAACTTTTTTGCACCGAAAAAGTCGACGGGTATCCCTGTGGTTTTTTTCGTATCGAATTTTTGAGTTTCTCTGATCTTCTTGAAACTCTGGATTCTGATAGAGGGCCATGAGACTTAGACCTGAGTGCAAAAATGGAGGCTCTAGACCCTTCCAGAGCTGAGATATTGAGATATTTATAATGGCATAAATGCTACGTGGGATCTCAATATCTCAGCACTGGAAGAGTCTAGAGACTCCATTTTTGCACTCAGGTCTAAGTCCCATGGCCCTCTATCAAATCCAGAGTTTCAAGAAGATTGGAGAAACTCAAAATTTCGACCCCCCCCCCAAAAAACGACAGTGGTACCCCTGTTGTTTTTTTTTTTGTTTTTTTGGTGCGAAAAAATAAGTTTCTCCAATCTTCTTGAAACTCTGGATTCTGATAGAGGGCCATGGGACTTAGACCTGAGTGCAAAAATTGAGCCTAGACCCTTCCAGAGCTGAGATCTTGAGATCCCACGTAGCATTTATGCCATTATAAATGTCTCAATTTCTACCAGAAAGACTCGGGAGATAAAATTATGTAACAAAGCATCCATTTATTGACAGCCCAGCAGGCAATTATTTTCAAAGTTCTTTGGCGTAGGCCCCGTCCATAGATCATAATCCGAAGGTAGCGGATCAGCATTTCCTGTCTGAAGGAAGACGAAGGCAGGGGCGCAGCCGACCTCCCAGGGAAGTATAGACGGGACCATCCTGGTGGTGGTGGGGAGACGGTGGAGGTTGTTGTCGCGTCGGCATCTGCGAACTCAAACATGTGTGAGTCTATATCTTATATATACGACAAGAATAAGAATGTGATTGGATAACCTGAAGGTAACAAGTGACGTGGTAATTAAGTCTTCCTGGCAGAACTTATGCTGAAGCTTTCATATCTCAGCTCTGGAAGGGTCTAGAGAAGGGGTGCCCAACCCTGCTCCTGCCGATCGACTGTCCTGCACAGTTAATCTCCAACCCTAATCAAACACACCTGCCTTTAATTTTCAAGTGAACCTGAAGACCTTAATTGGTTGCTTCAGGTGTGTTTGATTAGGGTTGTAGATAAACTGTGTAGGACAGTCGATCGGCAGGAGCAGGGTTGGGCACCCCTGGTCTAGAGCCTCCATTTTTGCACTCAGGTCTAAGTCCCATGGCCCTCTATCAGAATCCAGAGTTTCAAGAAGATTGGAGAAACTTATTTTTTCGCACAAAAAAACCCCAAAACGACAGGGGTAACACTGTCATTTTTTTGGGGGGGGGGGGGTTGAAATTTTGAGTTTCTCTGGAAGAGTCTAGAGCCTCAATTTTTGCACTCAAGTCTAAGTCACATGGCCCTCTATCAGAATCCAGAGTTTCAAGAAGATTGGAGAAACAAATTTTTTCGCACAAAAAAAAAAAATCGACAGGGGTAACACTGTCGTTTTTTTTTTGGGTCGAAATTTTGAGTTTCTCTGATGTTCTTGAAACTCTGGATTCTGACAGAGGGCCATGGGACTTAGCCCTGAGGTCAAAAATGGAGGCTCTAGACCCTTCCAGAGCTGAGATATTGGGATCCCACGATATAATTTATGCCATTATAAAAATCTCAATATCTCAGCTCTGGAAGAGTCTAGAGCCTCAATTTTTGCACTCAGGTCTAAGTCCCATGGCCCTCTATCAGAATCCAGAGTTTCAAGAAGATTGGAGAAACTTTTTATTCGCCCCCCAAAAAAAAACGACAGGGGGTAACACTGTCGTTTTTTTTGGGGGTGTAAAAATGGAGGCTCTAGAAACCTTCCAGAGCTGAGATATTGGGATCCCACGATATAATTTATGCCATTATAAATATCTCAATATCTCAGCTCTGGAAGAGTCTAGAGCCTCCATTTTTTCACTCAGGTCTAAGGCCCATGGCCCTCTATCAGAATCCAGAGTTTCAAGAAGATTGGAGAAACTTATTTTTTCGCCCAAAAAAAAAACCCGACAGGGGTAACACTTTCGGGTTTTTTTTTTGGGTCGAAATTTTGAGTTCCTCTGATGTTCTTGAAACTCTGGATTCTGACAGAGGTCCATGGGACTTATGGGAATATAGACATATATATTAACAATGAAATAAAAAAACAGTTTAGATTAATTCTTTATTTACTTTCTTTATAGGAGTATTATAATTATCAG